CTACCACTAAAGCCAAGCACACGAGGGGGAGCTCCGCAGTCTCACTAGGCCAGCCTGTCACGCCCCCAGCATTCCTCATCAGTGCGGGGCCACGGTATATGTTGTCACCATTCCCAGAGATAAAACCGTTTCCTCGGCACTCACGTTAATATAATTTGCATTGATGTAATCGTCCCCACCAAGTAATATGACTCGAGTAGCATCATCTGTAGAGAGAAGAGAAGGCAGAGGGGAGTCAAACGCAGGTTACTGGTGGTCTATGTTCATATTCTGTGCACAGAGCCGAGGAAAATACTTATATGAGCCGAGTTCAGCTCAGGAGGAGAGATCAGAGCACAGACGTAGGAGGAGAGATCAGAGCACAGACGTAGGAGGAGAGATCAGAGCACAGACGTAGCAGAGATCCTAAACTGACAAAGAGGAACTACGCCCCTCCCCCTCCCAGGTATTTTAAAACCCCCACAACAACTCTTCTTGCTGATCTGGGGACATCGTGGCAGCTTCTTCCAGGAATGGCGAGGCATGGGCATCCCTTCAGGACTGAGCAGCGCTCATGTGACGACGTGTGAACGCCGTACTGTGATCTCAGCCTGTGTCATGAGGCGCCCCCTAGTGGGCATGTAAATGACAGGCTGGGCCCACAGGAAATGGGCAGAATGATAGAGTGTCATTCTGCCCTGATAAGGAGCGCTGGCGCTGGACCGGACAGGAAGCCGGGGACATCACTGACGTGTGGAGAGGGAAGGTAGAGATTGGCAATATTTTGAGAAGGGGCCCCCCAAAAAAACAAAAACAAAACGGGAGTAGCATTTTGAAGGCTCGTAATTTGCATTCCCAGGTCCCGAGTACCCAGAGGGATGGGAAACACCTTTTATATTTCCTCATGCTTACACTAGCGTCCCCTCCATACCAGACCCGTACCACCCGTGGAAGTAAATATCCCAGCGCGCACAGCCACCTGTGGCCAGGAGTGCATGATGGGACTTGTGGTCCCACAGAAGATGGAGAGCAGCAGCTATGTTGTCCATGGCCAGTGGCGGACGCTTGGGGCGGCATCGAACGCAGACGATCCACTTTTACTTACAAGGCGAAATGTCTCTGTATCGGTTCTTACAGACGTTCTGAGGTAATTTGGCACATGACATGGTCATCCCCGGCTTCCTCCTGTACAATTGCTGAAAGAGACAAAGAGGAGGAGGATATCTGTCTTTTTTCGTGAAAAGAAATAAATAAGACGCTGTCTTATTTTCGGGGAAACACGGTATAACATGGGGGGAGGGATTCTATAGCCCTCAGAGATGGCTAGGAACAATGTAACTGATAAGGGTGCGGCACAGGAAGATATCAGCTTACAGGATTTGTGGCAGGATCAATAGGTATTTTTTGCATTTATTGAACAAGACACAATCCACAGATGAAAAGGGGGAGACACAAGTTCCCTGTTAGGGTTTCAATTAGGGATGCTCCGATACCGGTATCAGTGCGAGTTCTTGTATTTGCACCAAATGCTCCGATACCAAAACTTCTCCCTGACTGGCAGTGCCGAGGGAGCATGGAGCCGGCTTTCTTTCCAATCAGGAAGTCAGGTGGTGGGTTATGACCCGCCTCCTGATTGGCTAGGAAGCCATCTTCACTTGCTGCTAGGCAGCCTGGCTTCCTAACCGATCAGGAAGCCAGGCGGCATGTGATGACCTGCCTTCCTGATTGGTTAGGATGCCAGGCTGTCTAGGAACAAGTGAAGCTGGCTTCCTAACCAATCAGGAAGCCAGGCAGCACGTCATGACTCACGTCCCGGTTTCCTGATTGGTCAGGAAGCCACACTGCTTAGCAACAAGTGAAGACGGCTTCTTAGCCAGTCAGGAAGCCGGGAGGCAGGTCATCACCTGCCGCCCAGCTTCCGGATTGGCTAGGAAGCCGGCTTCACTTGCTGCTAGGTAAACTGGCTTCCTGACTAATCAGAAAGCCAGACGGCACCTCACGACTCGCCTCCCGGCTCCCTGATTGGTCAAGAAGCCAGGAAGTCTCGGCAAGTGAAGCCGGTGTTCTTTCGCTAGAATACCGGCTTCACAGGCAATCAGGAAGCCGGGCGACGGGTCATGATCTGTCGCCCGACTACCTGATAGTCAAGGCACGCGGTACCGGTACTCGGCGAGTACTGGGGAAAAAAATACTGGTGCTCGATACCGAAAAAAACGGTATCGGTGGATTCCTAGTTTGAATACACTAAAAGAGCCAACAGGACAGATTGTAGACCTTAACGGCTGCAGGTCGGTTCAATGAAAATATAAGAACCGGGGGACACTGAAGTCGGGAGGGGGGCAGTGGAATGGCCCACCAACAATCTACCCATAGCGGGGATATCCCTTTAAAGCGGAGAGACCCTTTAAGTGAGTGTGGCCATTACATCAAATTGAGCCAGGACGTTCCCATTGAGCAGACCCTCAGCCAGCTGGATCATGGACTCCCTCAGGGCATCGTCCTCGGAGTGAATGCTGTCTCTGGGCGTCTTCTCCGGGATGTACTGGAAGTCCGGCTCGTTTTCCATCCTCTCTTCTACGATATCGTAAACCGCTGAGGACGCAACGCAGAGACACATCATCAGAAACTGAAACATGAAAGCTGGAGGAGTTCAATCAGCTTATATTAAGACTTCCCTGGTTATCCCCCCTCCCCCCCTCCCCCCCAGCATGATAGTGTTCAGGCGCAGTCACATGGGGATGGTCACATGGTTCCCTATAGGGTGGGAGAGCTGCACGCAGATGGTGGAACTCCTCTCTGCAGCCTCCAGCCTGGCCATGGTGCTTGAGATGACCTACCAGCCAAAGAAAGAAGACAGACCTGCAGGTATTGGACTTTCGGCCTCCCGGGTTATACTGCGTGATCTTGTAAGGAAATCATAATTGGGCTTTAATATTCGGGTACCACTGAAAGGTTCGCCTGTTGGATTGGAAAACCATGGGACCGCAGTGGACGTGCAGAGTATAGGACGCGCGTGCTTACCGTTGGGTCGGACCAGCAGGACGAGCTCTCCCGAGTGCCTCTCGCAGCTCGCCTTGATGAACATGACCACCTGGTCGTGCGTATGCTCGGAAATGTCCCGTCCGTTGATCAGTACAACCTGATCTCCTTCATTCAGACGCGGGACGCACAGGTCAGCCTGTATGAGGGGGAAGATGGGACAAACTTCAGATGCAGACAAGTCCACGCACAAGATAAAGAGAACACATATCCCGGTGTCAGTTCTCGGGGGATGGGTGACGTTCAGGAGATCAATAAACGGAGATGTCCCCTGCACGCCACGCAGCAATAGAGACCAGAAGTAATAGTGGTGCTTGTAGCGATGTCCACGGATTGCGCCGTGCGTACAACAAGGAGTATCACCAGCATCCGCGGGATGAAATAAATCTTCTTTTTATTGAAGAAACAAGTCACGTGTTGAATAGCAGATGTTTCAGAACCAAGCAGGGTCCCCTCACCAGTGGCGCAGGGTCCCCTCACCAGTGGCGCAGGGCCCCCTCACCAGTGGCGCAGGGCCCCCTCACCAGTGGCGCAGGGCCCCCTCACCAGTGGCGCAGGGTCCCCTCACCAGTGGCGCAGGGTCCCCTCACCAGTGGCGCAGGGTCCCCTCACCAGTGGCGCAGGGCCCCCTCACCAGTGGCGCAGGGCCCCCTCACCAGTGGCGCAGGGCCCCCTCACCAGTGGCGCAGGGCCCCCTCACCAGTGGCGCAGGGCTCCCTCACCAGTGGCGCAGGGTCCCCTCACCAGTGGCGCAGGGTCCCCTCACCAGTGGCGCAGGGTCCCCTCACCAGTGGCGCAGGGTCCCCTCACCAGTGGCGCAGGGCCCCCTCACCAGTGGCGCAGGGCCCCCTCACCAGTGGCGCAGGGCTCCCTCACCAGTGGCGCAGGGTCCCCTCACCAGTGGCGCAGGGTCCCCTCACCAGTGGCGCAGGGTCCCCTCACCAGTGGCGCAGGGTCCCCTCACCAGTGGCGCAGGGCCCCCTCACCAGTGGCGCAGGGCCCCCTCACCAGTGGCGCAGGGCTCCCTCACCAGTGACGCCGGGCTCCCTCCCCAGTGACGCCGGGCTCCCTCACCAGTGACGCCGGGCTCCCTCCCCAGTGACGCCGGGCTCCCTCCCCAGTGACGCCGGGCTCCCTCCCCAGTGACGCCGGGCTCCCTCACCAGTGACGCAGGGCTCCCTCACCAGTGACGCAGGGCTCCCTCACCAGTGACGCAGGGCTCCCTCACCAGTGACGCCGGGCTCCCTCACCAGTGACCTATGTCTGCCCTGAGGAAGGAACCCTGCGTGGTTCCGAAACGTTGGCGATTCAAAACGTGACCTGCTTCTTCAATAAAAAGAAAATTTGGGTTTATTTCATCTCATGGGTGCTGGTGATCCTCATTGCGGTTTACTGGAGAGTCAGGGAGGTCTCTACTCCTTGTGGGTGGGCAACCATGTCCATTGTGGCCCCAATAACCAATACAGGGAAAGGTCACCTACCGATGTCCCTGGGGCCACCCGGGATACAATGACCGGCATCTTCTGATCAAATCCACCCTGCAAGGAAAAGAAATAGAATGAATGGCGGAAATGAGTGAATGCGTCCAGGATGGAAAAC